GACCAAGCAAAGGATACCTTAAGGATTGTGCAAAACTGGTGTGAGAACAGATGTCTAACGGTTAATCCGAGCAAGACAAATATTATGGTCTTCACCAGAAAATATAAACCTGAACCCATAGAGACGTTAAAACTCTGGGGAAAGGAAATACCGTTTACAGACTCGGTGAAATACTTGGGACTGTTTCTAGATCCTAAGCTTAGCTGGGGAAAACATCTCATAGAGCAAAGGAAAAAGTTCTATGCATCCATGTGGATGTGCAGAAGGGCAATGAGCAAGTCGTGGGGCATCAGCGCTGGTGCAGCTTTGTGGCTGTACAGGGCGGTCCTGCTACCGCGGCTGCTATACGCGTCAGTCGTCTGGTGGACGAGAATAAATAAAGGGGAGGTAGAGAAACTACTTAGAAGCCTGCAAGGTAACTACCTAAGGGCTGCAGTAGGGGCCATGAGAACCACACCCACAGAGGCGCTTGAAATAGCACTCAGTGTTACGCCAATAGGCTTGGCCGTGATAAAATCAGCCAATACCACGGCATACCGCCTGAAATGTCAGGGTGAATGGAGAAACACAGGACTGGGACACACCAGGCTTGGTCTTCTCCAAAAGTACCCTATTGAGGGAATACAAGACAGAACTACAAGAAAGTATCAACTGGTAAAACACTTTAAATATGGATACCTGATAGAAACGAGTGGCTGAAACCGGGCGGAATCATGGACACAAAGGTGGACATGTGGTTCACGGACGGATCAGGCATAAACAATTGCTTTGGAGCAGGAGTATATGGACCTGGGGAAAACCATAGGGAGAGTATTCCAATGGGAGGCGACTGCACGGTCTTTATGGCAGAGATGCTCGCCATCCTCAGATGTGCCGAACTGAACCTAACCAAAGGAACAAATTGCAGAAAAATATATATCTGCACAGACAGTAGGGCGGCCCTTCTGGCGTTGGCGGGTGCGACCACCGAGTCTTGCTTGGTATGGGACTGCATGCTGGCGCTGGAGGAGCTGTGTGGAACAAATAAAGTAACGTTAGTCTGGGTGCCCGGGCATCAGGGCATACCGGGAAACGAAATAGCAGACTCACTGGCTAGAGAAGGGGCTAGCAAAGCACCAGATAGTCGGGAGGTGGGAGTGCCCTTTACGATGGGCAAGAACTTCATCAGGGACAGTATAGACAAACAACATAAGGCCAGGTGGGATAATCTGAAATCCTGCCGACAGGCCAAATTCCTGATGAAAGACATAAATGGTAACAGAACCAAGGAACTGCTCACATTGAATAGGCAGAAATTGAGGATGGGGATAGGACTGCTGACAGGACATTCACCAATACTCAAAGCCCACCTATTCAATATCAGACTCGCAGACAGGAAGGAGTGTCGACTATGCGGGGAGGAAAAAGAGGACAGCATACATATTCTGTGCCAATGTCCGGCTCTGGCTAGAAAGAGATTCAGGATCTGGGGACAAAGTTTTCTTAAATCCCAAGAATTAGACAAAACAAGGGTGGTGGAACTCATAAGCCTAGTGGAGAACTCTGGGCTGAGTACACATCACTCAGTTTAAAGACAAGAGTGAGGAGACACAATGGATCTCGCTAATCTAGGTGCCGTCGGGGGCCAAGTTATGGAACCACTCACTACCCATCTACTACTACTACTAAGATATTACACATATAAAAAGCTAATAAGAGCAGAAATAATATCACGGTTATAAAAACTAGTTTATTACATTTAATCAATATGTACTGATATAAACAATAAAGTTTAAATTAATCTAAAATTATAAAAATAAACTCGAAAGTTAAAACAAATGAGTAAGCGAACGTTTCGATCCAATTTTTCGGATCTTCTTCAGCGCAGTACAAAAAGCAAAATTAAAATCACCAAAGTCTAAATGTTTTTAACGTATAAACGTCTAATAAACATATTTAAACGCGGTTACATCAGTAAACGAAATAAAACGTCGTAAGATTAACATTAATATGACTCTCACTGAGCCATCACATTTACGTTACTGTGAGAAGCGATCCTCTCTAGTTTTTTGACTACGAGGTTGGCAGGTGTTAAAATATAAAATATTAATCGCATCCTATAAATTAAAATAATTTTCTCATTACACCTCACTAATTATAATATCCAAAATCAAGTGCGTTATAAAACAATAATCTAACACATGGTATAAAAAAATGCTAATAAAAACTTACATATATTTATGATGTGACAATATTTTAATTGTAACAGTAACAAAAGTGACGCTAGTGTAATCCTCATGTCAGTAGAACGGCTCAGAGGAAACTGAAGCTCAGTTGGAAACGAAAAATTACAAACAATTATAATCATTTTGTATTTGTTATTTAATCTTAGAATTTAGGTAGTCTCTCTATAGCTTCGATATAAATATCAGATAGATTTTCAGTATTAGTCTGTAGATTGAGACTATTATTTTGTCTTTTTATGTATATCATTTCTGATAGTGATCTTTTTCCGTAATATATTTCTTTATCTAAAATATTAATGTTCTTCCAATCAAATTCATGATTAAAATTAACGCGGTGGTCCGTTATTACTGATTTAGTATTAATATTTTTAACTATGTGTTTCTTATGTTCAGAAATTCTTGTGGTCAGTCTTCTATTAGTCTGGCTCACGTAAGAAGCGTCGCAGTTTGAACAATTAATTTTGTAAACAACGTTGGTATTATTCAAGATGTAAAAATCTCTGAAGTCACCAGATGATAATTAAAAATGGTAGTAATTTAATCAACCAACTCTGGCTATTTAATAATCTTTATTTAATATTCACGACGTTTCGGCCATGGGTTTCGGCCCTTATCAAGTGCTAAAACACAACTTTTTATATAGAAACTTAATTTCTGATCTTAAAATGTGACATGATATAATGTGAAACATTTAACTATGTTGGTATTATTCATTTTAGAAATAGTATCTTTATGTACTCGTATATATTTATTTAATTTATTAAAATTAAAAAAGATTATTTAAAATTCATGTTCCTAATAATATTTCTAAATTGTTCCGTCAAACCGGGTAAAAACGGTATAGTGAAAAAAGACGTTTTTTCACTATTATTATTATTATTATTGTTACCGTTAATTGTGGTATTTTTTAATTTTTTAAATAAAATTACTAGACGTTGGTTAATAGTATTAAAGATCAAGTCACAAGCGGATAACAGTTCTCTAAAAGTATGTTGACAACGGTAACGAGATTCTTATAATGAAATCGTGGATGTGACAATAAAATTGTTCTATCCACTAGACCGTATATAGTTCCCCGCTTTTGACAAAATGGATGCTGAGACAAGAAATGTAAATATCTCCCCGAGAATGTCGGCTTGTGATACCAATCAGTAATTATCTTGTTGTTTTCTAAAATTAATGTCAAATCTAAAAAGTTTATTTTATTATTATCGTCAGTTTCCAGAGTGAATTGGAGTCTATTATGATAAGAATTAAAAATCATAAGTGTGTGGTCAATTAAAGTCAATGGAACAGTCAATACAATGTCGTCAACATATCTAAAGTAAATCGGGGGTGTGAATTTTAACAATTGTAATGATTTATTCTCAAGATCTTGTAAAACTAGATCTGCAATCACTGATGAGAGAGGAGAACCCATGGGCGTTCCAAAGGTTTGGCGGTAGATAACGTTATTAAAAATAAAAAAGGTAGAATTTAAAACTAAGCCTATTCCATTTAAAAATTCTGATTTTGATAAGTCACAATTCTTTGAAATAAATTCCCATGTAGAGGAAATACTTTCAAGAGCCTAATCAATAGGGACGTTAGTGAATAGCGAGACAACATCTAACGAGATTAATTTAAATTCATTATCAATGTGAATCTGTGACAATTTTTACACTAGTTCGAAACCGTTGTCAACACGACCTTCAGGCACTGGGAGGCTTTTAACTATAATCTTGTGCACGAAAGTCGCCAAGTTATACAGAGTAGTGTCAACCTATGACACTATTAATCTGAACGGACAGTTTTCTTTATGGACTTTAGGCAAGCCATATGCCCTGGGGAGAGTTCCATCAGTAAACAACAAAAGTCTGTATTCATTAGTTGAAATAAACTTAAAATTTTTCCAACAAACTAACAAGTCATGAAGACTGTTTATCAATTTTCTAGTAGGGTCTTTTTGACCATGTTCGAAATTGAGAAGAAATTAATATAATTATTTCAGTCTGTATTTTTCTGTCTAAAAAATCGATATTTTCTTCCGATGAATATGCGAAAAAACCGCGGAAAAAAGGCTCGCCCGATATAAACAAGTAGGCAATAAATCAGGATTATTTTAACAAGCTGTCAATAACAACAACATTGCTTAACCGAAAGCAACGATCACTGCATTGATTATCGATGTAATAGACATGCGCCGTTCGATCACGTGGCTTCCGAAAGCCAATCGATCTCGCTATCGAGCATTTCGCGCATGTCAGGTGCGTGCTTGTGTCGCGTAAATTACGGGGCCGCCAATAAAGACAGGCGCCCTTGCGTCACCTTCGAACATTTTAAATAACCGAAATTAATTGGTGAAGGAAAAATTAGTGGGGCTTCAGTACCGCACCGATAAAAGAAGCGCCCACCAAAATTGGGCGGCTAGTCTCTCGAGTCTCAGTACCGCAATTATTACCGCAATTATTACCGCAATTATTACCGCAATTATTACCGCAATTGTTACAGCAATTATTACCGCACACTCACTTGGAAATCGAACTCGACTTATCTATTGGAACTTTGTAAATCACTGTATCGTTTAAATTGTGAAAGTAAATTCTGTGTTAATTATTAAAAGGTGAATAATTTCTTTCGGCCTTCAATTACGCGCTCTCCTTCACGCGTTCGCGCAAACATATTTTTGGTCCTTCGAGACGGATCTTTTATCAGGTCGTCGCGCCGGCAGGCGTGTGAACATTCTTGAAGACGAGAGTGAAGTGCCTGAAAAAGAAATACAGTAAGTGTCACATCATGGATGCCGCTATATTGTTAGATAGTCAGCGTGAGATCCAAGTTCGAATCTCACGCTCGGTCGAATACCTGAAGAAGATGGGCGCTCCTAACATCACATCCAGTGCTCGCCACTGCTCGGGTGAACGTAGCCGATCGCCATGGAGCACCGCACGACGTCCGAGCACTGATCGATCAGGGATCAGAGGTGTCGATCGTTTCTGAAGCACTGGTGCAACGACTGAACCTGCCTCGATCACGCACCGACATGGCCATCTTTGGGATCGGAGGCGCACGACCAGGATCAACGCGTGGCAAGGTCACGCTGCACCTCATTCGGACATCGCGAACGCCCGGCTCTCCGTGATAGCGTTTATACTGCCACGCCTGTCACTTCTTCAAGGCTCCACGTCCAGCACACCAGAAGATTGGCCGCATATTCGAGGACTCCAACTGGCGGATCCTCAATTTCGCGAAAACGATCCAGCCGAGCTACTCCTGGGAGCGGAGGTGTGCTCCTTAATTCTTGAAGAGGGTCTACGCAAGGGTGGACCTCAGATGCCAATCGCGCAGAAGACATCGCTAGGATGGATCCTCTCTGGAGGCTCCGACGTTGCATCCGCAGAAGAGCACCGTTGCACATTCCAGTGCACTGCCGATCACGAGCTACTCGAGCTGGTGCAGCAGTTTTGGGAACAGGAACGGGAGCCCAACGCAGTCACGACACTCTCCGCCGAAGAGCAGCAATGCGAGGTATTCTTCGTGCACACGCACAATCGCACCTCTTCAGGACGATACGTGGTGAAGCTGCCGTTTTCCTCACCAATCACTGCACTCCGCGAAACCCGCAAACCAGCCGAGCGGCTTCTCACAACGATGGAGAGACGATGCGTCCAGGATCCTCGATTCGGCAATCTGTATCGCAGCTTCATGACAGAATACGAAGACCTGAAACATATGACGCTGGTGACATGCTCCACAACTAGCAATCAGTCAACGTACTTACCACATCATGGAGTACTCAAGGAGTCCAATGCCACGACGAAGCTGAGGGTCGTGTTCAATGGGTCGCAGCGAACGCGAACTGGAGACTCTTTAAACGCACACCTCATGACTGGAGCAAATCTTCTGCCAGCTCTTCTGACGTACTACTCCGATGGCGTCAACACCAGTATGTCTTCGTTGCTGATATAGAGAAAATGTATCGGCAGATACTCGTGCATCCGGATGACTGCAGATTCCAAACGATCCTGTGGCGTCATTCAACTGATGATGAAGTGCGAGAGTACCAGCTGAGAACGGTCACCTACGGTCTGGCGTGTGCTCCGTTTCTCGCCATACGGACACTCCGTCAGCTCGCAACGGACGAAGAAGAGCAGTTTCCTCGTGGCGCCGTAGCTCTGCGTCGAGATTGTTATGTCGACGATGTGGTCACCGGCTCAAATACGCTGAACGATGCGATCGCACTCCAGATGGAAATTCGCAACCTCTGCTTGGCGGGCGGATTTCCGTTGAAGAAGTGGGCAGCCAACGACGAGAGGATCCTGACTGGAGTACCAAGCGATCATCGTTTGCAGCAATTGCCGCCAGCCTGGGTTGGAGAGAGCCACTCCACGCTAGGACTCCGCTGGCACCCGCAACAAGACCAGTTCTCCTTCGTGTTTATCCGCACGCTGCCATCAACCACACGAAGAGAACGGTTTTATCCGAAACCGCACGGCTCTTCGATCCAATGGGGTGGCTCGCTCCAGTCGTGATTCGAGCAAAAATTCTCATTCAATCCACGTGGCTGCAAGGATTGGACTGGGACACCCCGCTGCCGCCATCCGACGCTCGAGAGTGGCAACGTCTTCTAGAAGAACTCCATCTTCTAGATCAGGTGCGAATAAAACGCTGGCTCGGGACCGGAGCAGATAAGACCTCGCTGCAGCTTCATGGCTTCGCCGATGCATCCGAACGAGGATATGCAGCCGCAGTATACATCCGCATCACTGAAAGGAACGAAACGTCAGTAAGGTTATTGATGGCCAAAAGCAAGGTAGCACCCGTCAAACAAGTGACCTTGCCGAGGCTGGAGTTGTGTGCCGCCACGCTACTCACCAATTTGACGCGACATATCAAACAAACGCTCGACCTGGCAACATCAGACACGTACTTATGGTCGGATTCAACAGTGACCCTCCAATGGATTCGCGGTCACTCCTCACGCTGGAAGACTTTCGTCCAATCGAGTCGCTCACATCCAGACGCAGCTGCCTAATGCACAATGGAGACACGTAGCTGGTCGCGACAACCCTGCGGACTGTGCATCAAGGGGTATTAATCCAAGCGAACTAATCAATCACGCTTTATGGTGGACAGGACCTACCTGGTTGTCACAGCACGAATCGGCCTGGCCAAATTCCGTGATGGAGATCCGAGGAGACGACGTGCCAGAAAGGAAAGCCACGAGCCTGATGACTGTCAACCGGGTCATCGTCGAGCCAGAAATCCTGCTCCGCTTCTCATCTCTGCATCGCCTGCTACGGATATCCGCATGGTGCCGTCGCTGGCTGCGCGCTTCTGAGCCGACTCACACCGCTGGACTAACGTTGAGTCCTGAGGAACTCGACATGGCACTCTTTCGTTGGCTTCGAGAAGTGCAGACACTGCACTTCACGGACGAGATCACCGCAGTCGCAGCTGGACGCTCCGTCGCACCACGCAGCACATTAGTCAAGCTGACTCCGTTCCTCGACGACCATGGTGTTCTGAGAGTGGGAGGTCGGCTTAAGCACGCCCTGCTGACACAAGATGAGAGGCACCCGATGATCATTCCAACCTCGTCGTGGCTGACTCGTCTGCTGGTGGAATCCTGTCACCGTCGGACGCTGCATGGCGGAGTGCAACTTACCCTGGGGCTGCTTCGACTGCGCTTCTGGATTCCACGAGGACGCACAGTTGTGAAACAGCAACTACATCGCTGCGTCACCTGCACAAGATGGCGAGCAACGACGCTGCAGCCACCGATGGGTAATCTACCCCGCGATCGGGTCACTCCGACTCGGCCATTTCTGCGCACTGGAGTGGACTATGCAGGACCCATCCTCATCCGGACGAGCAAGGGACGAGGACACCGCGCCTATAAGGGCTATATCGCAGTATTCATCTGTTTTTGGTCCAGAGCCATCCACCTCGAACTTGTCTCGGATTACTCTTCAGAGGCCTTCATCGCCGCTTTACGTCGCTTTATCTCACGTCGAGGTCTCTGTACGGACATATATAGCGACTGTGGAACGACCTTCATCGGGGCTGACCGCACTTTACGGGAACTCTTCGTCGCTGCATCCACAGAGGGTCGTGGAATCGCACGCGTAGCTGCTGAACATGGCATACGGTGGCACTTTAATCCACCAGCAGCTCCGCACTTCGGCGGATTGTGGGAGGCAGCCGTCAAATCCGCTAAGTATCACTTACGGAGGGTGATAGGTGAAACCACTCTCACCTTTGAGGAACTGACCACTCTCCTCACACAAATTGAGGCCTGTTTAAATTCTCGTCCATTACAGGCACTCTCTGACGATCCAGACGATATTACAGCACTGACTCCGGGCCACTTCCTGATCGGCGCGCCGCTTCTCGCCATCCCGGAGCCAGTACAGGAGGACACCAGTGGATCCGCAGCATCACGATGGCATCATCTCCAGGCGATGCGAGATCACTTTTGGCAAAGATGGTCGGGAGAGTACATCCATGGACTCATCTCACGACCTAAATGGTTGAAGGTCGATACCACACCTCACATCGGAGCACTCTGCCTTGTGCGCTCCGAGATTTCGCCTCCAAACCGATGGCCTCTCGCCCGGATCACAAAACTGCATCCCGGCGACGACGGGATCGTACGCGTGGTCACCGTTCGAACCGCGACCTCCGAGCTCGTGCGTCCGCTCGTAAAAATCGTCTTACTTCCCGACTTCACAACGGACGTAACGACACGCAACGCATAGACAGAAATACACGACACATCACATACGCACTGTAACCACTGTTCACATTCACACGCATTATTTCACATCGAAACCGCGTGTCACTATTCTCAGCTGATCGCACCACACTGTCAACACGTGTTCATCGTTTCAGCTGATCGAGCGACATTCCACGCGATAATCACGTGTATCTCGCCGCGCCGGCGCGCGCCTACCCCACAATCAATCGCGATCGAACATTCATAGCGACTTATTGTCAGCGGGTGACAAGGCGGGCGGGATGTTCGAAATTGAGAAGAAATTAATATAATTATTTCAGTCTGTATTTTTCTGTCTAAAAATCGATATTTTCTTCCGATGAATATGCGAAAAAACCGCGGAAAAAAGGCTCGCCCGATATAAACAAGTAGGCAATAAATCAGGATTATTTTAACAAGCTGTCAATAACAACAACATTGCTTAACCGAAAGCAACGATCACTGCATTGATTATCGATGTAATAGACATGCGCCGTTCGATCACGTGGCTTCCGAAAGCCAATCGATCTCGCTATCGAGCATTTCGCGCATGTCAGGTGCGTGCTTGTGTCGCGTAAATTACGGGGCCGCCAATAAAGACAAGCGCCCTTGCGTCACCTTCGAACATTTTTAAATAACCGAAATTAATTGGTGGAGAAAAATTAGTGGGGCTTCATTACCGCACCGATAAAAGAAGCGCCCACCAAAATTGGGCGGCTAGTCTTTCGAGTCTCAGTATCGCAATTATTACCGCAATTGTTACAGCAATTATTACCGCACACTCACTTGGAAATCGAACTCAACTTATCTATTGGAACTTTGTAAAATCACTGTATCGTTTAAATTGTGAAAGTAAATTCTGTGTTAATTATTAAAAGTGAATAATTTCTTTCGGCCTTCAATTACGCGCTCTCCTTCACGCGTTCGCGCAAACAGACCAACGTATATGTATTATTATCTTTCAACAAGTCTTCAATACTTTGTATATATTTATCTTTATCCAACGCTACCGTTATATTTCCTTTAACCACACGTGTAAGGATAAGATTTTTATTTTCTTTTAAGAAATTTTTAGTAATGTGATTTAATTGTAAAAGCGTATTATTTGCTTCATTCGTAGGATAAGAATAAGTCAAAATAGATTTTATCACATTGCTTGTTCGATTTCTTATAATTGTACGTTCTCTAACCGGTAATTTTCTAATATTATTTTCAATGTTCTTAACAAACTCAATCGTTAAATTAGTTCTGTTGTCAAAAAGTAAACTAAATTACTCCCCAACTGTAAAAAACATTGGATATCGTCCGGAATATTAATTGAAGATTTATTGATAAACCATTTATCTTTCAACTGTTTTAAATCTTGACATGTATTATTGAAAGAAGCAGGATCTATTCTAACGTCCGTTATTTTATCCAAGGTGTTCCGCGTTACTTCGTTATTATTAAAAGAAACATAATTAGGACATGATTGTATTGATAGCTTATGTTTTGAATCTGAATTATTATATTGATAAGTATAGTGTATCGGTTTTATGTCACGAATGTTTAATTTTTTTCTGTAGTAAGAAATTAAATTTTTTATTGTATCTTTCATTTTCTTTTAAAAATGAGTATATAGCGGACCACTTTGTCTATTAAAAAATTCGTTGCAAACGTGAATCGGAATGTTATTATAAAAATCTATTGAAAGTCTATTTTGATTTTGAGCCGTTCTAGTAGACATATATACATCTCTAAGTTCTATTCTTAATAGTCTTTGAAAAAATAATAATTTTGAACGCAAAAAATTATGTCTCGATTTTTGGTTGGTAAAGTCGATCTTATATTTATTAAGTAAGCTGTTAATGTGTGTAGGAAATATTCCATTATTCATACAGTTACGATAAAATTTGATTTTAAGTCTGTTAGTAATAATAATTTTCCGAATCTTAATCCATCGTTTTAATAACTTTACCGTTTCAAAACAAACCAAATTTCAATATACATAAAAAATAAAATATGTCGAACGCATTATTTCAGTTTACGTGTGATAAACAATATACTAATAAATGCTCTTTAATTCAAATAAAGTATTACCATATAAAGGCTAATAAGAGCAGAAGTAATATTACGGTTATAAAACTAGTTTATTACATTTAATCAATATGTACTGATATAAACAATAAAGTTTTAAATTAATCTAAAATTATAAAAATAAACTCGAAAGTTAAAACTAATGAGAAAGCAAACGTTTCGATCCAATTTTCGGATCTTTTTCAGCGCAGTACAAAAAGCAAAATTAAAATCAACCACCAAGTCTAAATGTCTTTATAAAATTGATAAACAGTCTTCATG